CACTATTCCTCGAACAGCAAAAAGAAATTCGTCGATTCCTTATTTAACTTGATGATAAGAACTTTATTTTACTTAGATTGGAAAAACTTGAGAATAATGGTCGAATAAGAGAACTCTTGCATTATTTAGGACTTTAAAATAAGACTTCTACATTTTTCTGGTTTCAAACAACGTCTTTGTTAATTTTTTTTTGTAAGAAATACATATTGCGTATTTTTAATAAAAGCGAGTTTTGTTCTATTTTTTTACTAACTATACGCATGTTGGAAAGTTTATATGAACATCGTTGTTAAAGAAAACCGACCGTTTTGTAAAACGTGCGCGTAAACAACCGGCTTGTAGTGCTGAAGTCGAAGAAAGTTTTGCTGGCAGAAAGTCTCAGGCCGTCTAATATATGCCCTTGGAATTAATTAAGATTTGAAGATAATCGGTATGTAGGACTTCGACTCTTAACTTGAGGAAGTTTACGAACATGGTTTGAAGAATTATTTTCGAAAGAAACTGTTGAAGCAGAAATGTAATTTCAAACTAATAAGACGAAGGATAGTAATGAATTTTCGTCAGAGAAAGAAATATGGCATTCTTGGTTTCAAACAAGAATAGCAGCTTTATTTTTAATTAATTTTGTTTGACAAATAAAAGACAATTATTCAAATTATTCTTTAAAAAATAATTTGGATAAAAATAAGCTGCATATAATGTTATTATTTTCTTATAATCTCCGTTTACAACTTCTAATTATGTGTATCTAATAATACATAATATACGTAACAATTATTTTGTTATTATTCAAAAAATAAGTTTTTTAAAAAAATTCTATAAAAACAATGAAATAAAATGTTTAATGGTAAACATTTCTAAATTATGTAAATTTAATTTTAACAAAAATTAAATTATTATAAATATAATATGTTTTATATATATATATATATATTTCCTAAATGTATAAATATGTTTAAAATGACTTACGTAGTATTACTTACATAGTATTATTTATATTGAAGTAGTCATTTAAGTTTATCCTTTTTTCTAATTAGCGCATCTTTACTCTAAGGCGGATTAAATCTTGTAGAGGAAAAGAGAAATCAAAGCTTAAAGAGACGTAAAATTAATGTTTCAAATATAGTTTTAACAATATTAAATCAACAAATTAGCTTTTTAACAATAAAATTATTAAAATTTCATTTTTAGAAATCAATGACTTAAAATCTATACGATATCAGATTCACATTGTTAAATCTATTGTGTCAAATTTAATTTGAGTCGTCGCTCCTGTACTCAATTATAGTTAATTTATACTAAAACTATGGTTATATTTGACACTATATAGTGTCAAATTGACACGATCTAATATCAAATTTAATTATTGATTTAGTATAAAATAATGATATATTTACAGTAGGAGCATAATAGGAACGACTCATGTTAAATTAAATTTGACACTATAGGTTTAATAGTACATTACTTTCTAATTATGAATGCAAAGTCAAAGAAAATTATATTAAAAGTCATATTTAATAAATTATAAGAGTGCATAATTTTCTCAAGAAAAAAACATTCCAGTCCAATAAAAATTGCTTAAATGTATGTTACGCAAATAATTGTTACTGTAATTTAATAACAAGTAATTTTGTTAATATAAAATTGACCTTTTCTACTTATTATTTTATTTTTTTCTTTTAAGAGCCATCTGCTCTAGTGGAAGTGCGTGAGTTGCATTTACATCCGAGTTTGAAGAATTTAGCTTCAAGATATATAGTGGTGACTTATGGAGATATCCCTGACGAGCATATCAGGCAGATATCTTAACGCCTTCGGGCTTGTGAGGCGGCGCCTCTCGAGTGTTATGACTTCCAACCATCTATGTCATGCGGCTTTCGCGTTCTCGTAGTCGAGCCATAAGCGAAGAACGACTTTACTCGAGTATGATCGGATTAACTTGTGATAGAATACAGGTTTTACAGTGTACCACGAATTTATACTACGAAAAAATGAATTGTTATAAGGAGGAACTGTTTGTAACTATATTATTTTATATATATTTAGATGAATAATAAAGGTATATGAGTTCTTTAATTCATTTTAATTGACAACAAATGTGAAGAGATATTTGTCAACGTACATGGATCTAAAGGTGAAGAAGAATAATTAATTTAAAAACAAGAGAACGCGGTAAATTCTTAGGTAAAATTTATTGTATACTTAAATTGTCATGAACTATTATGGGTATACATAGAATACACTATGTATACATAGACAGAACGGTTTTGTTGAAGATCTATAAATTTTACTAGATATACAGATCTAAAAATAATTTTGTTTGATTATTAAAATATTATAATTACGCAAGAATCTCAAGCATGATGAGCGATGCAGAAAACCATTTAAACATTCTAGCGATTAGTTTGAGCGTCCTATATAATTATTTTATTGAACAATAAAATTATTTTCAGATCTGGCTAAATTTTTTAATATATCATCAAATGTGCTATGTAATTATTTTGATGGTGCAACAAAATTACAATATTTTTAGATCTGGTTACATTTTTAGATATTTTAACAAAACCACTCTTTCCGTGTAGATGATCATTTTATTTTTAATTCTTTGCTAAAAGTCATTTGCATAGATAAAAAATATACGGATTATGTTAGATTATGACTACCA